TCTTTGTCCGACTACCTGTGGCTGATTCAACATGTTGAATCGGCCGTGCGTCGGCCATGAAAGGCCAAATAAGGCGTATCACGGCCGACGGTGCAGGACACCCCAAATTGAGTTTGGGCGACAGGGCACGCTTGTCGTCGGACTAACGAAAACGGCCGATTTCGGTCTGGTGTGTCAGGGCCTTTAACCCCATGACGTTTCACACAGAGGTCAAGGAATAGACGATAGGTTTAGACGATAGGAGCTGATTGTTGGACTATTCGACTGCAACCCTTGTGTTTTTGAGAGCTTATGACAGTTTATGTGAGAGGACATTGTACTGGTTGTGAGAGAGCATACTTTAAAAGGAAGTCAGGTTGATCCAACAGGAAGCCTGCTTAAATATTCTTTCCTTGACTGGTTTACAGCCTTGAAAACAAAGCCTGAAGCTGCTCAGAGCACTGCTAGCTACATTTGAGCTGCAATAAGAACTTTTGGTAACACTTTATATTAAGGTACACAAATTCACCATCAACTAGTTGATAATTAACATGCATATTAGCAGTATATTGGCTATTTATTAGTCATTATAGAAAAAATATTAATGCCTTATTCTACATGACCAGATTATACAAGTAATAGGCCATTAGTTGAGTTTTTCCTCAATAACCCTCTAATTAGTGCTTATTTATTGCAAGTAAGGAAGTTGTTGTACATGAGTTTTGGTCTTAATATGCTCTGCTCAATATGGGCTCAATAAGACAGTAGTACCTAATTTTGAGTTACTTAGACTTAATTAACACTTATAGTGTCATGTCTTGTTACATAAGAATAGATCATATTTGATCTAAAAAATATCTATTTGTGATCATACTGTGTGACCTGCTTGTATGTACTTACAAAATAGGTGTACTGTTCTCTCTATGTGTTGTCCTGTCTCAGTGTGAACATAGATTTAACAGCTAGCCAAACTCTTTTGAGAGCCAGTGAATGAGCAGCCATGCTCCTTTATTGATTTCCAGTCTACTGACATTCAAACGGAGTGAAACTATAAAAAAAGAAGATACAAGGCACTTAATGATCTCATACATGCAAGTGTAACATACACAGATTAACACATAGGACTGCTAAGTGTAAACAAGGTAAATATAGCTAATGCTAGCAGTGCAATAAGCATGTATACAGGCTAGGATGGCTAGCGTGTATGCTAGCGTGAATGCTAACGCATTTGAACGCAGTTTAAACATCTCCAAATGTCATCACATAAACACAATACATGTTACTAATCCTCACAGCCAGTGTTAGGCTTACATTTATAATCATTGCTTTCTGACGGACTTGACCCTTTTACTCTTCGGGTTGCATAGAAAAAATTAGTAGCAGTCTACTACCGGTGTCCGTCAAACAAAAAACGTAGAGCTAATCAGGAACTGAGAATTTAGTCCAACTTCCTTTTCAATCAAACTCACTTCCTTTTCAATCATACTCTTTCACACACATAACTATTCTTATGCACACACCCTATCATTCTGTTTGATACACATACCTATAGTCATTCACATTAACTAGGTCTCTTATATAAGCTATTATTTGGCCTTTCATTCACTGCTATTCTGTTTTACATATATGACTATTGTTATTAACATGAAATACTATTCCCTCTTACATAGGTTATTATTCTGTCTTACATACATTGTTTACCGATTACACACATACTACTATCCTCTTTCACATACACTATTATAATGTTCTATTAGATTATAGTTGTTTGTGAAAGACGATAGTGGTGTGTGTACGAGAGTATGATGGTGCGTTTAAGAGATGTTGTGTGTGTGAGAGAATAGTTATTTATGTATGATAGTATGATAGTAAATGAAGGAAGGAATGACAGTACATTAAAGACGGTATGATGCCGTGTGTGAAAGAGTCTGGTGGTGTACATGTGAGATTCTGATATTGTTTGTAAAACCAAGTATGAGTTGTGAGCTAGACGGCCTCTCATACTCTCCCAACCTCTCTCTCTACTTCTCTGCACTGAGCCAGTTGCTCAAAACAGACAGGCCTGTTTACAGTTGTCAGCGAAATGCCGCTCTTCTGTCTTCATAACAGTCACAGCATGAGACTGAAGTTCCCACCAGGGTCAAAATAATGCGCTGTGATGTGCAGTCGACACGTTGGATGCGATCCAAATTATCTCACACAGTCCCTCGTCCTCCACAATGTTAATTGTCCTGCAAGCTGTAGCCACCGCCACCCATTTAGCTATCGCTGCTATCTTGACAGCCCTAATAATCAGTGAAGGAAATTGTGCGAATAGCATTTAGTGAGTTTTAGGTTGAGATTAAGGACAAAAAAAAAAGTTGAACAAACAATGTAACAGCAAATATATGTTGATGTAGCCTAAGGCATAGTTAATATGGAAGAACAAGGGTGAACACACACACCATTGACATTTTTATCACAAAGTTATCTAAACATCATATGTCCTTAGTGAACTTTATTCACAACAAGTAAACTTAATCCAACTAGAAGAAATTAAATGCATGCCGCCACGAGTACATGTGAAATGTTTTCCAAAAATCACAGATGCTTATAAGTAAATGAAAACAAGCAAGAACACTGTTTTACATCTCCACAGATTCCTCATTCAGACAAGATGAGAAATGAAGAGGAGAACATGGAAGGACTCTCCATCTCTCCTTCATTCTCAGACCCATCAGATCACATTACTGTCCTTGACCAGACTCTTGCATATCTCGACGATCTTGGTCCGATTCAACCATGAGCGAGGACAGCATGGGAGAGACTTGGTGTTTCGACAGTGATTCAGACATCTCAGATATGATCACACAATTTGATCAGAATCTGAATCTGAACAAGGTGATATCTGCAGTATGCCACAGCTACTTGTTTCCACAAGATCTGGAGACAGAGGAGGATGATTTTGAGGAGACTGACAAGCCTCTGCATTACACTGATTCTGCCAAGACCCTGGAGGTCCCTGAGCCCCCCAACACATTGGAGGTCCCATAGCCTGCCAGCACACTTGAGGTCCCTGGGCCCCCCAGCACACTGGAGGTCCCAGAGCCCCCCCAACACACTGGAGGTCTCTTAGCCTTCTAACACACTGGAGGTCCCTGTGCCCCCCAGCACACTGGAGGTCCCTGAGCCCCCCCCAACACACTGGAGGTCCCTGTGCCCCCCAGCACACTGGAGGTCCCAGAGCCCCCCAACACACTGGAGGTCCCAGAGCCCCCCAACACACTGGAGGTCCCAGAGCCCCCCAACACACTGGAGGTCCCTGAGCCTGCCAACACACTGGAGGTCCCTGTGCCCCTCAGCACAATGGAGGTCCCTGTGCCCCCCAGCACAATGGAGGTCCCTGTGCCCCCCAGCACACTGGAGGTCCCTGAGCCCGCTAACACAATGTAGGTCCCTGAGCCTGCCAACACACTGGAGGTCCCTGAGCCTGCCAACACACTGGAGGTCCCTGAGCCTGCCAACACACTGGAGGTCCCTGAGCCTGCCAACACACTGGAGGTCCCTGAGCCTGCCAACACACTGGAGGTCCCTGAGCCTGCCAACACACTGGAGGTCCCTGAGCCAGCCAACACACTGGAGGTCCCTGAGTCGACTTCTCCCGCTTCTTCTGCAGTATCTTCTCAAAGGTAGGTATTCACTTACATTGTAATCAGTCAGACAAGTTAAACAGTACACAAGAATAGAGTGGAACCGACCGGACCAGACAGGATTTCAAATGTTATCAATGTTGAACTTCTCTTCTGCTTGCTTCGCTTCCTTTTCTTTCTCTACTGATTTTTTAAATTTTTAGATTGAGAAAGAGAACATCAGACAGCCTGCTTTTTGGAAGAGACTGGTGTGCTGCACTTGCCTTGACAAGTGAATAAATGGATTAGGACCAGCTTCAGCCACTGGCCTGACAACAACTTTTCTTTTGTTTTAAATGTAATGTCAATAAATGCTAAACAATATACATTGCACTGTGTTTTAAAGTCATTCAGGGACAGTTTCCTTTGAGTGTGTGTTTGAGGACCGTGTTAAAAGGAAACCCAGGGCCACTGGCCGCTGATGTAATAAGACAAGACAGGAACTTTCACTATTTGTGTGCAGTATGATGCCCCTGTGGGTTCATCTTGAGAGGCTGTGGCTGTGCTTCATCCAGCCACCTTGATTGCAGTAACTCAGGGCACCTGGGTCTGGTGCCCTGCAGCTACTTAAAGCCTCTCTGCTCCTCTCTGTCTTCCCTCTGCTTTCCCCTACAGGCACCTGGTTCTGGTTGAGTATGTTATGAGTTCTCAGTTGCTTCACTTTGTGCACTTCAACACTCTCACACATGTCCATGCAATCCTCACCCTGCATTTACACTACTGATACCACTGAAATCCACACCTCATGCTTCATTTGTTTTGCACTTAATTAATTTGGCTAATTTGAATTACTTGCTTTAATAAACATATTTTGTTAAACTGTTGATATGGTGTGTCTCCTCTTTGTTGTGGCCTTTTGAGCCAGGTCATAACAGCAGCTTGAAGCAGGCATTAGTTAACCAACATTGCACACTTCTCCACCTTCATGCCCCTCATAACAACATGTGTGACTTTGACTAAGTTTCTGGTGACAGTATTACTTTGGTGCAGAGGTATTCAGATCTCGTACCTGAGTACCAGAGTGTAGGAATACTCTTTTTCAAGTACAAGTCCTAAAGATACGAAAATAAATGGTGTGTCTGTGTGTGTGTGTGTGTGTGTGTGTGTGTGTGTGTGTGTGTGTGTGTGTGTGTGTGTGTGTGTGTGTGTGTGTGTGTGTGTGTGTGTGTGTGCCACAGACAG